TCGTATGGTGACAGATCCATTATGGAGGTAGCTACATTGTGGTGAGCATAGCATAACATATAGACTTGTTAAATTACCAACTTTGCACCTAAAACCAACATAACATGTGTCAACTATACTTCAATTAAAAAAAAAAAAAAGAAATGAGTGTGGGCTGAGAAAATTACATCATTTGCCTAAGATAGCACATGCAGCTAGAAGTCAAAAGCCAGAAAACACTCTCTAATTCTTTCCAGCACACTGTCTACCACATGCCAACAACATTAGGAAAAGGTTGACTCTCAGATTCTGAAGCAGACAAGGAAACTCTTATTGGTAGATATAGAATCAGGGTGGGCTCACTCTCTCAGGTCACATTAAGAGAGTATATAATTTTTCTCATTAGAGTTTCTAAAGAAAGAAGATGTTCAAGAAGGATGCATGTGAGGACATCGGAAAACAGGGATTATATCTCCTTACTGACATATTCAGGGTGAAACAGACTCTTCTCATTCTCACCTGAAGTTCATAATCAGAGAATTAGGTTAACATTTGACATGTAAAACCTTTCTGCTATCTGGAGTTTTCAAATAGAGACTAACCTAAATCCCTCTTAGACTACTCCAGTCATGCTCATGTTGCCTTTGAAAGAGTCAGAAAACAACTGTTTACCATTTTATGTAGGAGAAACATTAAATTACTAGAAGATATTATTCAGCATCTTCTCTCAGTCTTTATTCCTTTAATGGAAATAATCCTAGCTGTTCTAGCCTCCCTAATTTATATCATTCTTCCAATATTTTTTCTACCTTTATATTTCTTTTCTCAGCATCCTGTATTTTGTCCACAATCCTAATACGAGGGACCCAAAGCTTGTTGAAAAAATATTTATTTCTGTGTTTGTGTTTTCTCCTCTCATGTCAGATTTATAAGAATTTAAATGTTTCTCAAAATTAAACTAAGAACTATAGAGGAAGCTATATAGAAACCATTGACCTTAACCTCAAAGAATCGATCACTGGATACTCCTAGTAATCCAAGAACAATATTAGTGTGTAATTCAAATGCCAGATTGTGGGACACAGAAGTGTTTTGGAATTTAGAAAAGCAATAGGGTGTCATGAGCTATTAAGGAAGGATTCACGGACACTGATAAATACAGAGTGAGCCTTAAGAGAGGGGATTTGGAGGGGAAGAATAGGAAGAAGTAGGGAAGAAAGTGGCCACGGGAGAGGCTGGAGTATAAAAATATCTAAACAGGGAGTATCTTAGATAGATATATATATATCTATCTAAGATACTCCC